TCTGAAGCACTAATTAATTAACTGTGCGAGAGTTTAATCAACCACTTGTTCATTTCTGCCGGCTGCGTCGGTGCTCCCTCTCGTTGACCTACCCATTCTTACTGTTTATTTCTCAACGAAAAAAAAGGCTCTTTATTTATTAATTTTTTTATTCCTAAAATCTAAAAAGTGGCCGCGCACTAACTAAACGAACCGGGCGGCCGACTTGTGGCCGTCCGATCTCGCTCGAATTGTCGTGCGCGTGGGCCAGGTGCCAGATGGTCGGGACGCTCACACGACTGACTGAGGTCCGCACCCATCGCTATCCACTCGCCTCCCCACCTCCCTCGCATTGTCGCCGCCTCCGCCGGTCCGCCCCAACTTGTGCCGGCCGCCGCTGCCGATCCACCTCGCCTCGGCCGACGCGGCCCACCACGGTTGCGGCATCTCGCCTGCCACGCCTCCACGCCGCCGTCTCCCGTCCGCCACCTCGCCTTTTCTTCTGCATCTAGCCGTCGGTCCTCCGCGAACGGCCCTTCCCTCGCCTCCTTGCTAATTAGTCCGTGCGAAAGCGAAGAAGGTGTCTCCCCTATCCACGAATTTCAGCAAGCACTCAATCTACAAGCTCACCCGTACAGCCGGTGCTCCGTACTTCTACATCCTTTCATGGTACGTGTCTGCCTTCTAGAATTTAGTGAGAAAAAAATTGAGCCCATCCATGGAGCTATGTAATTTGAAGTGGGATGCGGCCCTGAGTTTTGTTTTTCCTCTGATGTTCGAGGAACTGAAGAAATTTCAGTGAGAAGGAAGCCTGTGCGCGTGTGTGGTCGCTGCTATGTTCCCATTCGAGTTGTGCGTATGCGCTGCTGCATCCAGATCCATCCTCAATGGAGGTTTGCTGCCAGGTATGACTTCAACGCTGAGGCTAATTGACTTTGATGGGATCAGGGGTTTCCCTGATTAGTTGGTCCCTTGAGTACCAATGGCTTCCTGCGCTTGTTGAATTATGAGATGTGTTTGGTTGGGTTGAATCAAAGGAATTTCTAGTTCTTGTAAGTAAGAATTACTGAAGACTACTTGGTATAGTTACTAGTTCCTCTTGGTTTTGGTTGGTGCTCATTACATCTAGTTGAATCAATGAAAATAATTGAAGTTCTAAAGATTTTTTTGTCACTAATGGTATGAATTTAGGATCCTACTTTTCAAAACTCCATGGATCTGTAGTCGATGCAACTTGATCCATCTATTTATTGCTTAGACTGCATTTATCATTACGATACCGCTCGTTGGAACTGCTACTCAGTAGAGCTCAATTTTGTCCGTTTCCTCTCTTTTCTAATCGAAAGATATGCAAGTTAGAATAGTTTGCACACTTGTTATATATAGTTGCACAGAGAGGAATTACAAGCTTCACAGAAAGCAGTACATAGTTGCACACCTAAGCATACATAGTAGCACATTGACTGCCAAGTAGTTGGTTAGGGCAGCCGCCGAAGTTGCACATCCTACTCGTAGGGGTAGTTTGTGAGCAGGTGTCCACAACACGCCTACAGCGGTGGTCAAGGTCTGACTGCTAGATCCATTGTGGCTGGGTTAGTAGGTCACCAGGGGAGTCCTTGGTTGTGGAGTCGGAGTAGCACCTCCACTACCTCCTCCAATTCCTTTTTTCCGGTGATGGAGCTGGACCGCTATGGTCGTTAGGAAGCCACGCAAAGTCGCACAACCATGCTTTCGTAGTTGCACATCGACAACCAGACAATTGGTCAGGGCAGCCGCC